GTGATAAATTACCTGCAGCTTATATAGCATCTCCACAAAATATATATTGTGATAACTTACCTGCAGCTTATATAGCATCTCCACAAAATATATATCATTTGTGATAAATTACCTGCAGCTTATATAGCATCTCCACAAAATATATATTATTTGTAATAACTTACCTGCAGCTTATATAGCATCTCCACAAAATATATATTATTTGTGATAAATTACCTGCAGCTTATATAGCATCTCCATACCACAAAATATATATTATTTGTGTATATATAATCTTAAATCATCATTTTAAACATGAATTTTATAATTTTCAAACGTAGCATTTCAAACATGCAAGTTAAAACTATGAATTAGTGTAACTACAATATAAATATATTTGAAAAATACATGTACTTTAGTAAATAATACAGGAGCGGCGTTCCAGTCTGCTCCAGCTTCACCGATAGAGCTTTATTTACGACACAAGGAAAGATACTTTACACATTTGTAACCTATTCGTATAGATATTTAGGTGAAGGACTACTAGTTAGTTTAGAACTGAAATATGTGGAATATTATCATTATGATTAAAACTGTTTTTAAAGAACTCTCTCTCTTTACGCCTGTGCCAAGCATCGCAGGCGTCGAATTGTGCGATAAACTGTGTATATACAGTATAGCCTGTATATCCTACTTGTTTAGATTACTTTCCTCAATTTGTACATGCGCGTCCTTGACTCAAAAATAACACACAATGGTAAAAGCAACATTCGTTACAGACGTTTAATACTAGATATATATATACCGTCAATGCTTCAGTGATAAAAGAAATAATTAAGAGGGAATCCTCAATAGTCGCGGACTTGAAATTCTTTTAGGCAGAATTAGAGTAAATTAATCTATGGTACTTTTTTCCCTTTTTATTCGCTATATTTTTGTGTCCTATCAATACCATGCGTGGAACGCGTGTATACCCGATTCGATTTAATTACTCATCAGGATCACTACCAGCTTACCCTCAAATTGAAATTGTTTTAGGTAGGATTAGAGTAAATTAACCTACGAGACATCAGTCGAAAGGGTTTTACCTCCTTGAATCCAAAACTGTAATTAGATCTCTAATCGGTCAAGAGATGACGGAGCTATGAGCTAAAAGTTTGTACTTGAAAAAACAAAAAATAAAATAAACAAACTCAGAGCCGTTCTATAAGCCGCGGCTAGAATTGTTGTTTTGTAAATATTGTTACGTCTCCGTGTGTTAATTAATTTTCCGTAACTTCGTTTCAACGAAACTTTAACGACACAAGTCTTTACTTAATAAAACTGGTTTATTCTTTCCGAATATAACTCTGCGATACACTTAATCTCAATACTCGCGCTAAAACAACACTGTAACGAACGAACGTTAACTTCAACAATACCGTGTGACTGCAGTTCAATTACTCAATATCTCCACACACATTACCTCCCCTCTTTTATATACCAGCGTACCCTATTTCTAGTAATTACTAGA